TGTTCCGGTCCTGGGGGTGGGGCTGGGGCTGGCGGAAGGGGGTGTTCCGGGGCTAGGGCTGGATTGGGGAGAGGTGGGAGGGTGATGGGGGTGGTGGTGGGGAGCTCTGGGCTGGGCTGGGGTGGGCAGGCGATGGGCGAGGCGGGTGGTAACTTGTGGCTCCTAGGAACAGGCCGCCAGTGACCTGGCGGGTGGGGGGATTCTTGGCCCCCAGGGACCCCTGACCCAGCTGCTCCCCCTGCCCACCCCTGGCTGGCAGCTGGGGCCCCCTTTGCTCCCGCCCTGGTGCTGCGTGCGAGCAGGGGGCTGTTCCCGATCGGAAGCCCTGCAGAGTCGGGCCGTGTTGTGGAGCCGGCGTGGGCTGGTCACCGCGTGGTTAACGCTCGCTCGTGATCTCTCTCCCAGGCCACCAGCATCGCCACGGAAACCTGCCAGTACGAGGACCAGGAGCAGCAGCTGATGCTGGACTGCGTGGAACAGTTCTGTACGTCGGCCCCTGGCCTGGCCGGGAGGGTGGGGGGCTCTGTGGGGAGGGGGCTGCAGTGACCTCCCTTCGGGGGCCAGTCCTCGCACGGCTGTGAGCTCTCCCCAGCTCAGACACCGGAGACCGTGGGCGCCGGGCATGGAACCCAGGTCTCCATGGGGCACGGCCGGGCTGGGGGGGCGCCCCCATGGGCCCGGCTCCCGGCTCAGCAGCTAATCTCCCGCCCCCTCCCTCCAGCTGAAGCCAGCCGGCAGGTGGCCTCTCTCTCCGAGGAGCTGGCCCGCAAGACCGAGGACACGGCCCGGCAGCAGGAGGACATCAGCCAGCTCCTGGCCCAGATCGTGGACCTGCAGCAGAGGTGCCGCATGGTGAGTGCCTGCCCGGGGGCCGGGGCGCGGCCTGCGCCTGGCAGCCGGGGAGGTGGGGGGGTGACGGCAGCCCTGACCTGCTGTGTCTCCCCCAGCACGGCGCGGAGGTGGAGGAGCTGCAGCAGCATCTGGCCGCGACAAAGGAGTCTCAGCAGAAGCTGCGCACTGAGGTGAGCCCCTCGGGCAGGGCGGTGCTGGGCCCCGGTGCTCAGCGCTCAGCCGCTGCTGGTCCACCCACCGGGCTCGGCCTCCGGCGCCCGCGGGCCCAGACTCGCTCTTCGCATGGGACGTGGGCGCAGCTGCCATGCTGAGGGTGGTGGGGTGCCAGGCCCTGCTGACCCCTGTCCTGTGCCCGCGCAGCTGCAGGACCTGCAGGAGAAATACGCCGAGTGCGAGGGCATGCTGCACGAGGCCCAGGAGGAGATCAAAACCCTGCGCACCCGGAACCTCCCCAACAGCAGCCTGAACCGCTACAGCCTGCTGCCCCTGGTGAGTGCGGCCGCGGGGCACCACCGCCCGGGGGAGACTCCCAGCCTGGGCACCGCGCGTGGGGCCGGCAGGGCTGGGCGCGTTGGAGCTGCGCCCCAGGCTGAGCCGGGCACTGTACCACGTGTGTGAATGGCCTGCCCAGGCCCGTTGCACCAGCCCCAGGGGGGAAGCTGGCCTGGCTCTGCCTTGCCGGGAGATGAGGGATGCACGAGCTGTGGCATGTTGGGCACATCCGTGCTGAGCTGTGGGCGCTGGTGCCCAGGGTTGGCTGGCTCTGGGCTGCCTGGCAGCTGGTATTTCCCCTCGCCGGCCCCATTGGGATGCCACCTGCTCTCTGCCTGCAGGACTCGCTGGCCGCGGAGATCAAAGGGATCACGAGGAAAGGAGCCGACAGCTCGTCCTCCTCGGAGTACAAGTGAGTCTCCCCCTCGCCGTGGGGCTGGGGCCGTGGGGCTGGGGCCGTGGGGCCGACTGGCTGCCAGGGTGCAGGCTTAGCTGCGGCTCATGGACACAGTGAATCAGATGTGAGTGGACCCATGTGATGGATGGGGGCTGAGGGGGTGTCCCCTGGGCCCAGATGAGGGCTGGAGGGCCAAGCCCCCGATGATGCTGTCTGGAGGGGTGGGTGGGCCTGGGACAGGGGATCCCACTGACGGGCGCTGTCTGGTGGGGTGGGGGGGCAGAAGGGCAGGCGGGCAGCCCCCGGGATGGGATCCCGCTGATGGGCGCTGTCCCCTCCAGGAGCTACAAGCGGGTCTTCGAGACGGTGAAGGTCGTGAACCAGGCGGTTAAAGCCAAGTCGCGTGCAGAGTCTCCCCAAAACCTGCCCGGCTCCAAGCAGTCCTCGGCCCTCCCCTCGGCAGGGTGCAGCCGGGTCAGCACGCCCCGCACCAGCTATTACGGATCAGACAGCGCCAGCCTGGCACCGGAGAACCTGGAGAGCGCCCTGTAAGTGCCCCTCCATCTCTCTCAGCGGCTGGGAAGGCGGGTGCCATGCACTGGTGGGCTGGGGTCAGTCGGGGCTTCCCCCGAAAGGTCTGTGCTGGGGAGGGACACTGGGGGGGGGGTGCAGACATCCTAACCTAACCCCTGCTGGGCTCTCCTGGGTCTCCTTGTTGATGTTCTACTGGTGTGTGAGGTCAGGAGTAGGACCCCTGACAGGAGATTGGGGCAGCGTGGCTGGGTCCGGCCTTGCCCCAGTGGGGTGTAGCTGGCGTGTGAGATTGGTGCAGGTGGCCCCCTTGGCTCTGGTGCCAGGACCCAACCCAGCAAGGGGCTAATGGAGAGGAAGGGTCTACCCCATAGATGACCGTGTACTAGTCAGCTGAGCCAGCTTCTCACCCTCTGGGGCACAGCCCTGGCATGGTGCCCCTTGCTCTGGGGGGGTGCCTGGGGGCACAGTGTGGATGCCCCAGCCAGGGCACTGTGGCCCTTCTCGGGGCACACACAGCTGCGGGGCTGACTATCTCCTGCTTCCCCGTGGCAGGGCCGAGGAGAAGCTGCGGGGCACCCCGGGCACCCCAGGCAGGCACGACCTGGAGGCAGCGCTGCAGCGTCTGTCTGCCCGCCAGGAGAACCACGCCTCAGAGCGCTCCTTCTTCGAGACGGAGCGCGAGCAGAAGCTGAACCAACTGGCCAGGGACGTGGAGAGCTCCAGCGGCTTCCTCACGCCCAACGACAGCATCCTGTCCACCGGCACCAACTACTCTGGCAGCTCGGAGCACACCGGAGGCTCCGGCTTCTCCCTCGGCTCCCTCTCCTACCTGCCGGACAAGCTGCAGATAGTCAAGCCCCTGGAAGGTGAGTGAGGGGAACAAGCGGGCCTGGGGCACCTGGCGCAGAGGGGGGCCCCAGGGCAGGTGGTGAGGAACAGGCCAGGTTTGGGCTCACAGCATTAAACAGCCTTGAATGAGGTCCGGGGCTGGGCAGCCGGAGCCCGCAGCCTGCGAAGGGACAGACGAGTGTTCTGCATATAACAGCACACGGGATCTTTTTCAGGGGAAAAGGCGACACGCCGCATTTATTGGAAATACAACAACTAGCACATGCATTCAGTCACACACGCTGTCCCGCCAGTCGATGTTCTGTTCTCGTTCCCAGTTTAGAGTTTGGATCCTCCTAGTGGCCAGCTCGGTTGATCATGGGTAGAGAGGAGCTGGGTTTTGTCGGTCGCAACACGATGCTCTGGGGAAGTCTTGGCCAGAGGAACCCAAAGCTTTATAGCAAGGCCCCTGTTCATATAGTGTGGGTTGCTTTTTAATTGGGCCTGAGTTTTGCACTGTTATGCTGTAATTGTTGTTTGACGAGTGCTTGTTAATTTTTATTTTTTTTTATTTTTTGGTTTTTATTAAGTTGTTCAGGGAGTTACCCCAGGCTGGCTTTGATCACAGCTATTTTGTCCCCATTGGTAGATGCCGGTTTTATTTTGAGTCGTTAATTTGCCATCCACTGACATTTCAATAGGGGCGTGTTGCAATCTCCCGGTGCCCTTACGTTTGTCCTCGGTTCCTCCCTAGAATGTCTGGCCCAGTGAGGCCTTTACACTTCTCTTCCAACACCCACATTCACACACAACACAGGCTTGATTCACACAGCGCATTTGAACAGGAACATCGAGCATTGCATTGTTTTACTTTAAAATGCTAAAACCTACGAGTGGTGACCCTAAAAGGTCTGTTACTGCCTTGAAATCCGCTCCGATTCTGGCTGATGCATCTTTACCAATGGCCCCCCTAGGCCATTTCTTCCTGCTGTCAGAAAGGGTGGCTGGCAGAATATGATCAAAGCCTGCATCAATACATCTAATACAGGCTACGTTACTAGTCTTTATCCTTTATTCTAACTTATACAAAATACAAACATAACAATCCTCCCACTACAGGAGACGGCAAACCGGTTAAAGCCTGATGTGGAAGGGGTCAGTGAGGCGTTCAGTGGAACAATTTTTGTTCTCTCCCCTTAGCTGGGGAGTTCTAGCAGGAACACCCAGACACAGACACACCCAGTGTGGCAGGGTCTCGGTGGGTAACACCTGTCCAGCGGGGGAGGAAGTCCGCGGCGAGGAGCTGGACCTTTCCTTGTGGCTGCTGTGAAAGTCCAACCCCGTTTCATCCCGGGGGGGCTGGGATTCAGCGGGAACCGGGAGAGGTGGTGGTGTGTCTGGCCTGGTCTGCTCAGGGTCTCTCTGTGTTAGGATGCAGATGGTTGGGGGGGGCGGGAGGGTAGTAGCCATAATGGTGAAACATGCATCAGGAGCCCCCCTCTTCTTTTCTTTCCCCCAAAAGTCTCGTTGGGGCCCCAAGAGAGCATCGGGGAGGGGAGGGGAACAGCCTGTCCCCTTATTTGTCCCACACTTAGGCCTAATACCCAGCACCCCGATTTTGGGACCTTAATTTCTGCTTCCACCATCTTCTGTTTTTACTGAGCACAGTTTCAACGCAGGTCTGTCTGTCCGTCCTTCCTTTTCCCGTCGCCATTCAGCAGCCTTGGTTACTGTGACACTTTATGAACTTTCACTCCCTCCTCCCAGCTGAGCTCACCATTTGAGTCAGTTTAAGACCCAAATTCTCCCCCCCCCGGTGTCCCCCCGGGAGCCAGCTGGGTGCTGTGAACGCTGTTGCCCTCCAGGGGCTGGTCTGGGCAGAGCCGCGTCCTCACGGCTGGGGTCTCCTGTGTTGCAAACCTGGGACGTTCCCCCGCTGCAGGAGGTGGCTTGGGGAGGGCTCTGTGCACTGGGGCCCCTGGCGGCATGGGACGGCGCTGAGGGCTGGAGATCTGCATGGCTGGTGTCTCTGTCCCCAGGCTCGGTGACTCTCCACCACTGGCAGCAGCTGGCGAAGCCCAACCTGGGCGGGATCCTGGACCCCCGGCCCGGCGTGCTCACCAAAGACTTCCGGCAGCTGGACGTGGACCTGGAGGAGGTCTACAACCTGAACGACCTTGAGGAGGACGACGTGGACCTGAGCGCCTTCCCGGCACTCGCTGCCTCCACCCCGTCCAAAGCCAAGGGCTGCTCCAGTGGTGAGTGGGGGCTGATGGGGAGGGGAGGGGGGCGGGACCCTGAGCCAGCAGCAGGCAGATATCTGCCAGGCCCTGCCCGGCCAGCGGGACTTGCCATGTCCCCTGCTGGGGTGCGACAAGGCTGGCATCCTCTGCTCCACCCCATCCAGGTGCTTCCAGGACTTGCCCCGTCCCCCTAACCCCGGCCGCCATCTCCTTCCGTGTCTGTCTGCATGTCCATCTTGTCTCAGTCATCTGCATGTGGACGCTGCGTCCGGCTGTCTCGCCAGTCTCTGGCTGGGCAGATGTGCCAGGGCCTGAGAGACTCTCTCCTCCAGTCCCCATGAGGCGCTCCGGTCCCCCGACGCCTTTGTTCTCTTACCCCAGGGAGCTGCTCTCATGTGCCTGGTGTGCACAAAGGGGCCCTTGGCCTGCTCAGGAAACATCCGCCTCGGTCCTTGAATCTCTGCCCCGGCTGGGGTCCCCCGGGAGCCCTACAGAGCCCATGGGTCTGAGAGCCAGCCAGGATCTCCCTGCCCCCGCCCGTGTCTGCCTCCCTGCTGACTCACCGGGGGCCCATGCCCCCCAGGTCTCTGTCCATCCCCCACCCATACATTAACCCCGTGTCTCCTGTCCATGCCAGCGTTCCACTCCTCCATTAACAACCTCCCCCAGACTCCATCTACATTCACCATCACCACCTGCCACATCTTACACCCCAGCAAGGAGATCACCACCGTGACGCCCAGGTAAGGCGGCAAGGGCCCTGCCCTCCCCCCCCATCTCCCTGCGAACCAATCATCCCCTCTCTAACCTGTCTCCTTTTCTCCCCCCGCCCCCACCTTGGGCTGGTCTATTGGCTCTTGGTTCTAGGCAGCGACACTCCTGGGGCAGGCGCCTCCTGCAGCCCCTGACGCTCTGAGGGGCTCGGTGCGAACGTAAGAGTCCCCGTATCACGCTGGCAGCCGGGCGCGGCAGCCCCACAGACACCGAGCTCGGGGGGCAGGGGACATGCACACTGCAGGAAGGGTGTGGAGCGCCCCCTGCTGCCTGTCTGGGCGGGATCCCAGGGGCCTATCGCCAGCTGGCCCCTGCTGTGGGTCAGGACTCCGCTGTCCCCCAAGTCTGCCCCCTTGCAGGCTGCGAGGTGTGAGTGGGGCTACCGCTGGGCTGGACTGCAGAGGCTGGGCTAGGCTGCTCCTCCCTACGTCCCCCCGGCTGCGCTCGGGAACTGGCGAACCCCGGTGTCCCTGTCGTGCGGGTTGGGTGCTAAGAAGCCCTGCTCCCTAAGGAACCAGCGGGTGGCTGCTCCTGGCCGGCGGCCGAGCCCGTCGGAGCTGGGCCCAGCGCTGGAGCCAGAGGGAACCGGCAGCTGTTGCCTCCCATGAGATGAAGGGAGTTCTGTGCAGCCCAGGAGTCGGCTCTCTGCGGAGACCTGGCCCTGACTGTGACATGAATGAGCAATTGGATAGCAGGAGCCGCCCCTCCCCCCCCCCCCCCGGGCCTGAGATTCCCAATGTGCCAGGGGCCCTGGCAGTGCCATGCTGCATGTGGGTAGGTCGTGCCCCCCTGCATGTGGGAGGAGCAGCCTGGGTCCAGCCTCTGTCTCTGGGGAGCACCAACTAACCCACTAACCAGTAGCTGCCTGGACACAGGATGTGCCATTAACCCCCCCCCCCTTTTCTCTCTAGGCCTAAAGAGACTAACATGGCTGCCCCCAGCCTGGGCCAGGGGGTCCCAAACTCGCTGGGGGCTCTCCGCACCTTGTGACTTGGCTAAAGGGGGGTGGGGGTTGGCTGCTGCAGGTTAACGGTAAAGGATTCGTTAAGCAAACGAGCTAACGGGACCAGTGCCTGGAAAGAGGAGCTCCTTGCCCAGGGCAGAGCTAGCCGTGGGTGAGGGACTCCCCGAACAGACCAATTCTCACCCAGGGCAAATTCCTTCAGTGCTGGCAATGGGCGTTTGCAGGGGGCGTCACACTGCGCCGGGCGGGAGCCTGTGGCACTTGGACAGTCAGGGCCCCAGGGGCTCAAGATGACCCAAGGTCCCAGAGCGAGTCAGGGACAGAGCCAGGAGTAGAACCCAGGAGTCCGGAGCTTGGCACAGAGCCGGGAGGTGGGGAGAATGGGGCATGGGGAACGTCAGAGGTCAGGGCACTGTGGGGAAAGCTCACCCCAGAGTCAGAGCTCCTCGTTCCTAGGCCAGGCTCCACCTGTGGGGCTGCCACCTCCTTGTACTGACCAGCTCTCTCCCCTCTCTCTCCTCCCCAGTCTTTATAATACAGTCGTGCCCTCTTGTGGGCCCTTTGACAGGCTGAGTGCCGCCGGCCCCGTGCCCCAGGCGCTGGAGCCTGGCCCCAGGGCGCTGTCTGCACCTCTCGGACTCGTCACGCTGCTGCTGGAACACGGCATCTCTGCCTCGGTGCGGGCTGGCAACGCTCTGGCTGCGCTACGGGTGCCGGAGCCCCCCTCCTGGCTCTCCCCCTTGAGGGAGCAGTGGGACAGCCTGGGGGGGCGGTCTCTGGGCAGCTCAGGCTTGGCTCAGCCCTTCCCGAGGGCCCACGGGCTGGATGACGGCAGGGCCGCTGGGCCCAGCGGAGCCCAGAGCAAGAGCAACATCTTCAGCTGGAACCTGGTGGAGAAGCTGAAGAGACTCAGGATGGACAAAGTGGTGGCCAGAGGAGAGGCCGGCTTCCGGGGCCCAGGGGAGAGCAGACAGCCTGTCGGGCCGCCGGCCCCCACCACGCAGCCGTGAGCCTCCTCCCTGGGCTATGACCCCCTGCAGAGCAACGTGGCTCCCTCCTGGGCCTCCCCATCACCCCCTTTCCAGCCAGCCGGGAGCCGGCGAGGGGGGGTGAGAGCGGTGATCCGTCCGCGTCTGGGCCGCTGGCGGGAGCTGGTCTCAGCGGCGGGGTCTGCTCTGTCATAATTTATTTCCAGCCACGGTTAGTGGGTCCCCAGCGTGAGGGCGGGGGTGGGGTGACCGTTTTCTGAGTGGCCATGAGAACAGGTGCATCAGCTGCTGCAGTTTAATGAGCACCTGGGATCTCTGCCACTGAGCCGGGAGTAGGGGACGTGTCCCCAGGGGGGCTCAGGCGGCCCCATGGCAAACCCCCCCCCCCTGGTGCAGCAGGTCTCCCGCATGCCCCGTGACAAGGGGCTGAGGCCGGGCACACGGCTGAGCTGGAACTCGGCTTTGGGCTGTAACGTTGGCTCTGGTCTCTCCAGAGCAGGGGCTTGGAGAGCACTAGCAGGGCAGCCCTGCCTGCCAGGGGAGCACTGAGTGCATGCTAGGGCCGGGGGGGGGCCTCTGTTCCCTGTCCTATCCTGCCCTCAGCAGGACAGCAGCATCTCAGCCTCTGCTGCTCCTGGGGGGCTGCAAGGGGCTGGGGGCGGGTCAGGATCACGAAATTAGGTCTGGAAGCTCTGGGGCCGAGGGGCAGTGGCTCTGGGGAGGGAAGTTTGCGCAGCCCCTGCTCCTAGGGGCTCTAGCCACCGCCCTGAGCCCTGAACTTGCCTTCCCCTAAAGCTGGTGGGCACAGATTTTTTTGGGGGGCGGGGGTGGGATCTGCCCTTGGAACCATAGTCAGGGAAGCGGCTCAGGTCTGTGGTTTATGTGAGGTGGTGCCGGTGGCTCCCCTCACTGCCTGAGCCCCCTCCCCACGCTCGCTCTTAGCTGAACACAGGGGTGGGGAAGGCCAGATCCTGTGGCTGTCAAGGGGAGTGGGGGGCTTAGGACCTAGATGAGGAACAGGCAGTGTTGTTCCAGCCGGGGAGGGGGCAGTGACTCTCTTAAGGACGTGCCAGGCTGTCCTCGTAACACCCTGAGGGCCGGGCCAGGCCCCACGAGGGGGGGAGGCAATCTGCCCTCCTGGAGGGGCAGGGAGGGGTAAATGCAGGATGTCCTGGGCTGTCCTGTGGGCCCTGCTCTACTGTTAACGTTGGACAATCGCAGAACTGCCCAGTCCAAACAATTCTGGCCCGAGTCCCTGGCCCCGGGCTGTACTCGAATTCCTGGGCAGGCAGGGCTGGGCTGTGCGATTTCCAGTCACCCAGCAGGGCGCGGCCCTGGGCCAGCAGCCGGCCGGTCTTTTAAAAACACTGAGATTTTTAAACAACTGCTTTGTCTTGAATCAATAAACTAAGCTACTGACAAGGCTCCGCCCCTTCCCAGCAGGGGGCGGGGCCTGCATGCTGCTGGGGGCGTGGCTCAGGTCCCTGGGTCCGAGTAGCTGTTGCATGCACATCTGCTGCTCCCGAAGTCCCGCTGTTCTCGGTCGTCTCTGCACTAGCTGGTGTTACCCCCGCCCCCCAGCTGTGTCTTTCTGGTGAAATAAACACGACGTAATCAGAACCGGCTCCAGCCTGGTGTTTGTGGCGCTGTCTGAGCAGGGCGGGGGCTTGGGGGGCCTGGCTCTGACAAGACCCCAGCAGTGGGGCGGTCTCTAGAGCTGCCCCCATGGGCTTAGCCAAGCAGGGGTGAGGCTGGGGGGGTTGGCAGGGGTCAGCTGCTCGGTTGTGGCCTTTCAAAGGCCGGTCCCTCGTCTCACTCTTGCCCCGTGCTGCATGGGGCAGGAGCCAGGCGTGTAGGCCCTGCTCCATGTGAACACTGCAGGGACCTGCGGGGGGGCAGGATTGTGCTCGTGTCGCCCACAGGGGCCCGGACTAAAGCAGCTCCCCCTGCTGAGCCGTCCTGCAGTGCGGGTGGCTGCTTGGAGGGATGGATTGAAACACCCCTGCAAGCATCGCCCCACACCCACACACCCCCCCCCCGTGCTCTGCAGTTGCTTGGGCCTGAGCTCACAGCGGGCCTGAGCGGACACAGTTAGCCTGGCAGGACGGGCCCAGCAGCTGAGCTCTGGCATCGTCCACACGTCTGGAGCCAGGGCCAGGGAGAAGCGGGGCCAGCGCTGGGAATTTTATTACGATTCTTGCAAGTGTTTTCCTTCAGCACCAGCTCCTGGAGTCATGGGATTGTTGGGCTTTCTCACCCCTCACTCTGCTCTTTGGAAGTCCTTCTCCTGCCTCAGGGCTTGACCAGTGAGTCCTGAACACGGAGGGCTAGTGGGCATGGAAAGCAATGGGGTGGGGTGGAGCCCTATGCTGGGGGCAGGAGCAACCCTCCCTCTCCACTTCAGGCCTTGCCGGCCCAGGCTGGCCAGGGAGCTGCAGCATGACCAGACCTCACCCTGCTGCCGTCTCTTCTCTTCTCCCCCCCTGAGGCCTGGAACCTCTGACAGCCCCTCGACTTCCCCATCTTCACTCCACCCGCCCCCAGCATTACCTGGCCCCTAGGGCACCAGCTCACCTGTTTGCAGACTGCCCCCCTGTGGCTCTAGAGGGGACTGGAGCCCCGGGCTGGGCCTTGGCTTTTTAATTAAGGGGGGGGGGGAAGAGAGATTCTCTGGCTAGAGCTTCCCCCCCCCACACACATCTTTATTTTTAAAGTGAACAGAAGGGCGGGGAGGGGAAGGAAGCACTGGCTTCAACAGAATAAATTACCATGCCTTGGCCTCAGGTGGGGCAGTGGGACTGTGCCCGGAGGGGTGGTGGCCCTTGCAGCTGCCTGCCCTGGGTTCAAGGCCGGCTGCCCAGGGCTACCTAAGCCCCAGCACCCCCCCGCTGTCGCTCGCTGCCCCCTGAGCCTGTGGGGCGAGCTGCCCGTCCCCATCCCCGCCCAGCAGCAAACCCGGGCTGGGAGTCTCTGGGTGGCAGCCGGTCCTAGGTTCCAGGGCCACAGTGGGCTGCGTCCGGCTCCATGGGAGAGCAAAAACCCCGGGGGGACTGACGGCCTCGCCATCAGTGTCCCTGGGGCGCGGGTGGTGCCCTGCCGGGGGCTGCCTGGGATGTATGGGAAGCGGCACGAGCAGCAGCTGGCTGCCTTCTACAGCTGTGTCCTGAGCCGCTCGTCCAGCCCCATGCCCCGGGGGGGAGTGAGGCCCTGGGAGGGGACATGGGGCAGAACCCAGGTGTCCTGCTGGGGCCTCAGGCCAGGCCCCCGTCTGGCCTAGCTCATGGCGCAGCGAGAACACACACCACAGGGGTTTGCTGAGTAGAGTTTATTGGTGAGCAGCAGCAAAGGGCTTTGAAGACAAGGTCACGTGTGACATACTTAAAAATATGTGCCAGAGGGTGGAGCCTGCAGCTGCCCCGCCCCTGCGGGCAGGGCGGAGCCAAGCCACGCGGGACGCTGCTCCTCTAGGAGGTCTCGTCGGACTCGGACAGGCTCCGGCGCCCGAAGTCCATCCAGCCGGGATAATCGTGGTCGTGCAGGGGGCGCAGGGCAGCGTCCTCGTGCCAGTGCCCCTCCCGGTTTGCCAGCTCTGCCGGGAGTGGGAGCAGAGACACCAATTAGCCCCCTGGCCAGAGCCCGCTGGCGGCACCCCCTGGGCTGCACCAAAGTGCTGTGTGGGGAGGGGCTGGCCTCAGGGGCAACCCGGTCAGCTGTTCTCCCCCCCCACCCTCGGTGAACGGAAGCCGGAGCAGTGAGGGCCAGGGCAAGAGTGGCCAATGGTCTCTGAGCTGTGGGGCAGCCAACCTGCCCCCCCCCCCCCAGCACCAATCCAGTCGGGTGGAATCCCCCACGTTCCCTGCCCAACTATCCTGGGGTGTGTGAACAGCAGCCGTGTCCCACCCCAGAGGTGGCTGCCCATCAGTGGAGGCTGGAAGCTGCGAGTGATACAAGCGGGAGGGGGGGGTCAGGCACCAATTACAAACGGGCTTTAAGGGCCAGGATTGGCGTGTGCCTGGCGCTGGCCCCGCTGCGGCTCCTACCTGCGTAGATGTGGGGCAGGAACTTGGCCATGAGGAGCTTCTGGTCCTGAGACAGGGCCTCGAGCAAGTCTCTCCGGACAGGGCCAGGGTCAGTCCCGCTGCTCCTGCGCTCGTCAGGGCCCGGCGCGCTGCCCAGCTGGTGGGTGTCGGGCCGGGAGAGGCAGGGGGTCGCAAGGACAACGAGCAGCAGGCACAGCTCTCCTTTCATGGCTGCAAGGGAGGAGACGGGGCTGCTGGGGGCTGGTGCTGCGCCCTGCTCCGGGCTGGGACAGAGTCCTGCTGCAGCAGCCCCCCCGGGAACTCGAGGGTGGGGGGGTCTGGTGCCCACCAGCCAGGGTGGGTCGCCCAGCCGAGGGCACGCTCAGCGGGTGCTTCGAGAAACGCTGGTACTTTGGGCCCGGCACAAGGCTCTCCCCAGCCTGTGCTTTGTGCCTTATAGCTGGCAAAGCCCT